CAGTAGAATAGTGCCTGGTGGCAATTTCCTGACCCTGTTGCATGTAGTGATGAAAAGGATTGTATGAATGTCGTCACAGAAGTCAGTTTAATCAGTTCATGTTTTCATACCTTGAAACTATTACAGTGATGAAGGATAAACTTGGTTACTGTGAGGTCAAGAATACAATTTCAGATACTTCTGTTAATTTTTCCTTAGGGAAACAGATTCAGTTGTGTGGATTTCCTTTAGTGTCCAGCAGGTGGCAGTAATGGAGCTGAAGTTCAGCATGTAGTAATTTGCAGAAGGCCAGCCACTGAAAGCCTCATTACAGTTGATATGGATCTAGTAATTTTCAAATCACATTCTTAGAAGTATATTTTGACGTTCAGAACAGTAGACTCTGAATGCTGACTGATTAAAGCAGAGGCTTAAATGGACGCACCCCCTGTTGTCCCATCCTTAATGTGTCACCTCCCTCGTCAAACCATTAATTGTCCCGCAGATACCAAATTTAACAAACTCCTATAAGTTATTTATGTGTTGCATTTATACCCCACATTTTTTTCATTATGGAACTCAAGGGGGTTATGTAGAATTCTGCAGAAGTCTCCCATCCACCTAGACCTGCTTAGTTCAGCAAGGTTGCTGAATCATGTGCTCCAGTCATACCTGGGCCCTACTTTTATGGTGTGATATTATGCAGATTTACTATTGCATGATTTACTTTCAGTACAAGTAATTTCTATTACAGACCTCTAGTTTACTGACACATATTAAGTATCTTCACCAGTATTGAACTTAAGGAAAACAGCAGGGAGTGCTATAGTCTGTTCACACAAGGGGTTTAAGCTTCAAAAATTTGCTTGCACGATGTTCACAAAATACTTCCATACTGTCACTGGACTTAAGCATTTACATTTTGAATTGCATTAGGGCATAGGCAGAGGATAAAGCGGGCACTTCTAGAAAACTAGTGGCTGCATCATCATAGTCCTATGGAGTGGGGGGGAGACTGTGCTGGCTCAGAACTGCTCCAGACGAGCTGCAGAGAGCAGTGACGGGGAAGGATCTGCGGGCATGCCTGGGGCCGCTTTGAGAAAGCCCGCAGAGATCTCCCCCCCCCCCTGGCTGCCATTCTCTGTGGCTTGGCTAGAACAGCTCCGAGCAAGCTGGCAGAGACTTCCTCCTTACTGCTGCTCTCTGCAGCTCAGCTGGAACAGCTCCAAGCGAGCCAGCACAGTCCCCCCCCCCGCTCTGTTTGTGTGACCAGCACAGCTTGGGGGGGGGGGTTGTGCTGCAGAGAGTGGCAGAGGGGGAGTCTCTCCTGGCTCACCCAGAGCTCCTCTGAGCAAGCCAGCAGACTCCCCCCCCCCACCGTTCTCTGCGGCTCACCCAGCTCACCCAACACAGTCTGCCCTCCCAGGCTGCTGCGGCTCACCCAGCTCCTGGACCTGCCAACTTGCTGTCCTGCCAACAGGTCCAGCCAGAGGTAGGTGGGTAAGCGCAGAGAATGCTGTCCTGCTTTTAGGGGGATTTAAGGCCCCCTGTGTATTTTTTAAATCATTTAAGATTTTTATGCACACCTGGGGAGTCCTCCAAGTGTGCAGAAAGATCTGCACATGGCCCCAATCCGCAGGATATCAGCAGATTGCAGTCATGGGTAGCTAATAGTATATAGATAAAATTATGGATGGACATTGTTATTGATTATATGGCCATTTTTAAAAAAGTTATAGCTGGTTCTGGATCAGCTACTTTTGATCATTAATCTCTAGATTTGGGACATACTTCTGTGAGCTAAAATGCTAACTCTTCTGAACTAGGAGCATCTTTTTCAGAATAGTATATTAGAATACTGAATGTAATGTCAGGAATATTGGGGTGTTTTGCTGACATGACCCTGCATCCACATCAAAAAGTGCTGTTAAGTCCTCTTCACACCTGGGAGGACAGAATGGAGATTCTCGGTTTGCTTCCCACAATTAGAAAAGACACTTTTGGACATTTATCTGCTATTCGGTCATATTTAATGCTTTATAGCTGTTGACCTTATAACCTTAGCTTGTTATTTTGGACTTTGCATATCTTAAACATCATCATGTTACATGTTAATTTCCCTGTCTATAAATTTGAACCTTACACACCATTCCAGTGTATTTGAAAAAGTGTGCCTTGCACACGAAAGCTCATACCTTGAATAAACCTTTGTTGGTCTTAAAGGTGCCACTGGACACTAAATTTGTACTATCTGTATAAACAGTTTAGTATAGATCTCTGTAAAAGTGATGTGAATTGTATGCTGAAGTGCTAGAAGTATGCTAAAAGTGGAAGTCTCAAACATGTCTGCATGTAATTTATTCTCTCTTTCCCTCCAGCAATACCTTACGGGTGACCCGCTCAGCTGCTCCCAGCACACTGGATAGCACAAATTCTGGATCTGCCTCTCCGCTTGGGAAGAAGGGCAAGGAATTTGACTTCTCCCAGCTACCTATGAAAGTGGACTTTATAGAATGTAGTGCCAGAGGAAGCAAGGGAGAGGAGGGTAGTGCTGACATTGAGGGCTTGGAAAAATGGATATCCAAAACTGCTTGAGCCACAGGGAAGCATCAAAGGCAGCCACTAGGGGAAAAATGTGCATTTGAATAGTATGTGAAATCTAATGCAGGAAGGATGAGTCGTGGCAACAGCCTAAGTAGGATGGTGGGAGCCTTTGGAAGAACAATTATGACAAGGTCATTCTGCTGTACTTTGGAATGCTTTTCTGCTTGATGGCGTTCTGGCGGTGATGTACTGAAGAATCCCTCCAAATGTACACCACAAGCTGCAGTTCCTTTTCTCCTTCCCATTCTCATTTCCTTGTCATTTCTTCTACTATATCTTATCTATATAGGCTTTACATGTGGATTTGATACTGGGTGACAGTTGTGTTGTTTCAAAATTTGAATTTCTTCATTCTTGCTTGCTTTCCATTAGTAACCTCATCTGAGATGTTCCTGGTAAATAGCCACTTGTTTATGAGCATCTGTGAAAGCCGCTGGTTGCCTGATATTCAGACACCTCAGTGGGGGGGTTGACAGTGTGTGCTATGCCTAGTAGTGCCTTTTTCTGCTGCTAGGTTTGTGGTCTGATCCTTCTGCAGACTGTACTTTAATAACTGCGCTTGAGAGCTAAGAAATCCAAGCTGTTAAGTATGTTTTGGTTTCTGTTTCCAGGCCCTTTTCCCAGTCAGAGAGGGTGAAAGGTATGATATGCTATGTATTGCTGAGTTGATCTTACAGTATTTGAAATGTATTTCTGGCAAATACTTCCATTTTAATTGGCTGATATATCCATGGTTGGAGACCCTGTGCGTTTTTGGTAAGACCTAATGTAACACTCTCTACAAACAGTGGTAATGGTATGGGGCTCTTCTCCATTCTGTCTGTTTCACTACTTGGTGGACATGGGTCTTAATATTATCTGTGCCCAGTTTCCTGAAGGTGTTTCTGCTGTACGAATTTGTGTTGTACTGTTAGAAAAGACAAATGTTGGGACTGTGTATACATTCTTGGCCACCAAGTCAGAGAGTACTTCTCTAGGTGACATTCATATATTTTGCAAGAAATTCCTTACCAACAGGAAGACATCGTTCACAATTACTTTACTATGTCAGAAGAAGTACTTGGGCCTGCTTCATATAATATGAAAGAGATGTTTGCTGCATGTCCCAGCAGTGAACATTTAATGTTTGGGAGTTGAGCATGTGCAAACATTTGGTAAACAGATCCCTGCAAGCCTCACCCAGCTGTTGCTCCTGGATGCATGTTTTCTCTGTGTCTACTGATGCTCATCTCCCTTTCAAGCATTAGTGCCCACTGCCTGTTCCAGCAGTGATGCATACAAGAATCTTTTTCATATTGTGTAAAACATACCCAGAATTTTATCTGCACTCAATATAATCAGCGTATGTTGCAGTTAGTAGCGTAGCCTGTTACCAGTTGTGGATTTGGTTGAAAACCGACTTTGTATCTTTGAACAGCTCCTGCTTTGGATTGCAGTTTACCTTATTAGCTTCTTGTCATATCTATACCATGGTAGCAAGACATGGAGGCTCAGACCATGAAGCATATGCATCTCGTTGTGTTCATGGCTCAAGATACCAGAGGCTTTGTATATACTGTATTCACAAACTCACAGGTGTAAGCAATCAGGCCTTTTAAATTATTCTTTGAAAATGTCTGTGAATAAAGTCATTTGGCTGATTGTTTGGCTTTTCTCTAATGCTCCTCTGATATCCCTTGTCACTACTAATATTATTTGCTTCTAATCAAGGTGATGTAATGATGTTTTATGCAATTCTGTGTCATTGAGGTGAATACTTTTTTTTTTTGGTGAACCAGAGGGAGACTCTTACAATTATTGCAGCACAATATTTATGTAGGTGAAATTTATGTAGCTGGAACTTTGAACAGCACACTTTGCAGAGAAAGTCCCATAGATGATGTGTAACATAAGCCAAGGAACTAGCTGTCCGAAAAACTAATGGTTAACTCTCATGGTTCTTGCTGTTTAGCACTAGATCCCATTAGTCTCAGTCCAGTTGTCTGTTGTAGCCATCAGTCTGTTTGTCTATACATTCACTGTCAGCTACAGCGGAACTTTCTGGCCTCTACCTCCTGATACTTAGTATGACTGTTAATATCTAGCTACCCATTCTTCTTTGTATTATATGCATTCCAGTATTTCTGCTGGTTGAATAAGTAGGTATTTTGAAGTATTTGGGGACATGGTATGGCCAAAGCCAGTTGAGCTTATTTCTGTCTTGTTTTTAAATTCCAGGTCACAAGAGTAGTGCCAGAACATTCCCAGAATGCTTTGGAGGGTGGACTCTATGGCACTGTATCACCCCTGAGGTCCCTGTCCTCTTAAGGCTCCACCCCCAAATCTCCATGGATTTCCCAAACTCAGTCTGGCAACCCTATGGGGAACTGGTATTGATAGTTGGGAGATCTGTTGTGATTCCAGGATATCTCCAGCTCCCATCAGCCCCTAGAAGGAGAGAAGGAAGCAGGAAAAAGGGAGAGACTATTGGGAGCTTTCAGGAAAGGGGGAAAAAAATAGAGAGGGGGAAGTGGGATGCCTCCCGCAAATACTTGCGGGCTGTCACTTGTCTATATATTATTAGCCACCTGTGCCCCCCCCCCATCTGCAGATAGCTAAATCTGCATATTGGGGCCATACAGAGGCTAAACAGATTTTCCAGCAAACTTGGGGCACTCCCCAGTTTGCAGGGGGAAAAATCTGAAAATTAAAAAAACATTGTTTGTTTTTTAATCTCCCCAAAAGTAAAAGCACTTACCTCTGACAGTCATCTTTGGTGCTCGGGAGCTGCACTGGGATCAGCCGTGGCAGTGGCTGCACCAGGGAGCTGCGCTAGGCCCAGCGGCAGTGCGGCCCAGGAGCCCCATTGGTCCCAGCGGCACAGCCTGGGAACCTTGCAGGGCCCGGCGGTGGCTGCACATCTCAGGAGCAGCACAGGGCATGCCACCAGCAGTGACACGGGAGCCGTGTGGGGTTATCCTGCCAGCAGCAGCAAAGCCCCTGGTTTGCACTGGGCCTGGCGTGAAAGGGGAGGAATCCCCCCCCCATGAGTATTGTGGGCCCACATGTTTGTGTGTATTGCAAAGAGATGTTTCTCATCTTCTGTGGTGGACTGTAGTTTCTTTCATACTCAGTTCTAATCACTTTGTTGGCTGATCTCTTGGATGTGTTGTTATTCGTGATGGTCAGAAGCAGGAACCTTTTGAGGGGCTGAGGAAAGTGTGTTGCTGTACAGCACTGTGACTTATAACTGAGTTCAATTACAGCACAAATGACACTGGAAATTAGTCCAGTGGGACTGTGGGGCCCTTATTTCTTCCTTCTCTGGAGTCTGGAGCTGCTGCTTGCTCTCCTCTCAATCACCGGTTAGCTCAGTGGAGAGTCCTCCCTCTCATTTGTGATCTGTGCAGATTGCTCAGAGTGCAGAGGCAGCTGTTCATTGACAGCCCTTCATCCTAGTCATCCGTTACTTCTGCCTTCTGATTTAATCTCTTCTGTTGTTTCAACTGAGCCAAAGAAAGGCATCACACGAGTTTCACTATTTTCCAGTGCTCTTTCTCTATGGAACTCTTTCTGAAAAATGCTGCAATTTAGGCATCTAAAGGACTGTCATACCTATCACATTTCTATCCACTGTTTCAGGGTCTCCATGGTTGTCCCTCCTCTTATTTCTTCTCCTCTTTAAGGCAGATTCAGGCTGAGGGAGAGTAACCAGCTTCATTTGAACTCTGGTCTCCCGCTTTAATGACTACACTGGTTCTCTGAGCGTATGACAAAACATGCTTGTAACTGAATTGTGCAACCCAGATTGTGAGAAGCTGTTGGTGGGAAACAGCCTAAGATGGGTTTTACTAATAGCCACACTGTACATTCACATGGAGTAGTAGGTGCAGTATAAACTTGTGTATGAGGGGGAATTAGTTCAGCGTATCTGAAGAAGCTTCTGCTGCTGGCTTAAATGAACTGAAGATCTTGGGATCCAGGTTCCAAGGTACTCTTCATCCCTTAGACTCTTAAGTCTATCTCACTTGCTGAGGGCAAATAATGATGTCTGGTTTACTCTAGTGCATCCATGTCTTTTTAAATAATGCTTAGGCTGGGTTTATGAAGTCCCAATAGAGAAAGTAGTAGCAAAGTATTTACTGGATATTAAAGTGCTACAGAACACACACAAGCAAAGCCACAAGACTTCTTGTTTTCTTAGCCTGAAATACACTGTTCACAAAATCCACACAACATATTGTGTTTCTTTGGTTTTGAAGATGCCTTAGCAATTTATGGTTTCTAAACATTGTTAAGATTTATATCATATCAAAGTGGTCCATAGTATGTAGATAATAGATGTACAAAATGGAGCCTGGGACAGATAGGGGGATTTCTCTGCAAATCTGAAGGAAGACCCAAGTTTGCAGAAAAATCTGAAATCTAACAAAGATGTGTTGGCGGATCAAAACTCCACAAAATAGTAGAAACAATGCCTGTAGCTTTAATTCAGAGTTTTGCTCCTTTTTGGCTTGACATCCTTATTTCAACCCTCTCTTCAACCTCCCCCTAACTGTATGTCATATTTTTGCTTCCTGTTGGTTATTAAATTCAAGTGCTTCAGATCATTTATCTCATATGCCAGATTTGCTTTGCACTGATTTTTCTGCAGTGCATTTTCTATTCATCTGGTTTTACCCTTTGCAGAATGCTTTCTTGTGGTCTCCTGAAGTACCCTGGAGAAGAAAAATCTGATGGACCCTTCTTAGTAATGAACGCACGAAGCTGCCTTATAATGAATCAGACCCTTGTTCCATCAAAGTCAGTATTGTCTATTTAGACCGTCAGTGGCTCTCCAGGATCTCAGGTTGAGGTCTTTCACATAGCCTCCTACCTGATCCTTTTAAATGGAGATGCTGGGGATTGAACCTGGGACCTTCTGCTTGCCAAGCAGATGTTCTGCCAGTGAGCCACAGATCCTCCCAAATAAAATGTGCCCCTGGGAATCTGCTCCAAGTCTTTGTGCTTTATCATGGTTCATAGAATCATAGAGTTGGAAAGAACCTCCAAGGTCATCTAGTCCAACCCCCTGCACAATGCAGGAAATTCACAAATACTTCCTCCTCCACACTTGCAGTGACCACTGTTCCACACCCAGAAAATGACAAAAAGCCTCCAGGATCTCCAGCCAAACTGGCCTGGAGATGTCAGATGGCCATCTAGTCACTGGCTGCGGTCACATGGAACATTAGCCATGCTAGAGAGACGGAAGTCAGGCGGAGTTTCTGGGCGCGATCTCACCGGCACATCTGGGAAGCGTAGCGCTTCCATGGCTCAACCGAGGCTTCCTGCCGAAAACTGCGCTGCAAAAAACTAGTACCTCGGAGGTACTAGTTTCCGGAAACTGCGGGGCAAGGGCGGGCGTCTGATCATGTTTCCGGTGGCATCTGGCGCCCGCCCATGTCCCCTTGCAAACAAGGTTTTTTCCCCCCCAAGTCTCCGTGGATGCGCACAAGCACCCAACGGAGCATGCGCATTTTTGGTGTACATGACAAAAAAACCCACCCGTTTGCCGCACCGTGCGCTTCTTTGTTGCGCGCAGGATCGTCCTGTGATCAGCACCTCTCCCTTCCCATGGAACCTCGACGGAACCTTCAGGGGAGATCTGATCCCTTAACCGCGCGTTAGTTTGCCCCGGGGCAAACAGCCACGCTTCCCCCCCGCAGTTTCCTGCCCGTGTGACCGGAGCCACTGTTTGAAAACCTCCAACGAAGGAGAGCCAACCACCTACTGAGGAAGCCTGTTCCACTGAGGAACCACTCTAGCTGTCAGGAAGTTCTTCCAGATGTTTAGCTGAAAACTCTTCTGATTTATGTTCTGGGACAACAGAAAGCAACTCCATACCATCCTCTATATGACAGCCCTTCACCTCTCAGTCGTCTCTTCTCCAGACTAAACATACCCAGCTCCGTCAACCTTTCCTCATAGGACTTGGTCTCCAGACCCTTCACCATCTTTGTTCCCTTCTTCTAGACTCGTTCCCACTTGTCTATATCCTTCTTAAATTGTGGTGCTCAAAACTGAACACAATACTATAAGTGAGGTCCAACCAGAGCAGAGTAAAGCAATACCATCACTTCACATGATCAGGACACTATACCTCTGTTGATACAGCCCAAAATCGCATTTGTCTTTTTAGCTACCGCATCACACTGCTGACTTATGTTCAGTGTATGGTCTACTAAGACCCCAGACCCTTTTCACACATACTACTGCCAAGGCAAGTCTCCCCCATTTTATAATTATGCATTTGATTTTTCCTACCTAAGTGCAGAACTTTACATTTATCCCCATTGAAATTCATTTTATTTGTTTTAGCTCAGTTTTTCAGCCTGTCAAGATCATCCTGTATCCTGACTCTGTCTTCTACTGTATTTGGTACCCTTCCCAATTTAGAATCCTCTGCAAATTTAATAAGCATTCCGTCTATCCCTTATCCAAATTATTGATAAAGATGTGGAACGAAACAGGTCCCAGGACAGATCCTTGAGGCACTCCATTTGTCACTCCTCTCCAAGAGGATGAGGAACCATTCACAAGCATTCTTTGGGTGCGATCTGTCAACCAGTTACAGATCCACCTAACAGTCATAGGATTCAAACCACATTTTACCAATTTGTCAACAAGAATATTATGTGGAAGCTTATCAAAAGCCTTACTTAAATCAAGATAAACTATGTCCACAGCTTTCCCCTGATCCAGCAAGGTAGCAACTTTCTCAAAAAAAGAGATAAAATTGGTCTGACATGACTTGTTCGTGAGAAACCCATGCTGGCTCTTAGCAATTACAGCCGTCCTTTCTAAATGCTCAAGGACGATTTGTTTGATGATTTGTTCTAAAACTTTCCCAGGTATAGACGTCAAGCTTATGGGTCGGTAGTTACCCAGATCCTCCTTTTTCCCCTTCTTGTTTGTAATCTAACTGTGAAACTTGCAAAGTTTCTGTCTCACATTCATTTGAATCCAAAATCTTGAATTATATATATAGTATATATATAATAGTAAGGTGGTGTGTGTGTTGCTGTACAGTATGCAAGTAGTACTACTCCATAATGAGGAAAAGAAAAAGCGGCATATTAGTTGTAGCACTGTAGTAATGACTGTGACATTCCGTAAAACTTGGGCCAAGAGCTTTGCTGAACAACATGTGAGAATCGTTATGATGCTATATTGACTGATATGACAGTGAGGTAACATGTCAGCTTATATAGTTATTCCTTTAGTAGTGTTCCCAGAATGTGACTACATGCCACTATCACACACTGAACAACAACATCTGGAGATACATCTCTATGCACTTTTTCTAGTTACACATGAATCTGAGTTTAATTTATTGAAGACATGACAAGTCACACTTTTCCCCAACAATAACAAAAACCTTCTAGACCCACACACTGCAGCAACTGTAATTTTCCACAACTGTTGTTGGTTGCAATTCAAGTCATAACAGTGGGAGAAACCAAGCATGTATATTGTGTGTGAGTATGTAATACATACACCTCCACACAGCGATGTGTGTAAATGTATGTTTTATGTCAATATAAAACATGCACACACATGTATACAAAAATTAAATACATTATCTATCGCATCTTTGTTGCCAAAGCATTCTTCTCTTCTTAGGCAACAGGGCCTTCTTCCTCTCTTTGTCCACTCATGCAAAAGTTATTATCACTCATAATAATGATCAACCACCATGAATAGTACATTCGGCTAAAAGTGAGCTGGTCCCAATGGACTATGGTTGAAATGACAGACAGTTCTGGTTAAACCTCGGCCACCATTTTGAGTTGCTTCCTTGAAGGAATCTGCTTCTAACCATAAGCTTAGAGATGAATCCATCTGGACACATTGGAGTAATGTCCCCCCCCCCCAAAAGAAAACCCCACAATTTTGAGTGCTTTGTTCAACACAATTTTAAAGTTAAACTGGCAGCCAGATTTGGCTGTGATGTGCTGGCAGAGAACAAGGATGATCAGAACCCCATGGGACAACCATACATTTAAAGTGACAGCAATGCCATTGGTTTCACAAATACACCCTAGTGTATGTGTGTGGTGGCTTCTGCTAGCTAGTGTGATTCTTTTTTTCAAATGGACTTAAGACTATGTGACAAGTGAACATCTTAAAACATGTACCTGCTCTAGCAGTGCTAAAAAGAAACCACTCCCATAGTATAATAAAATACAGTATGAAACATGATAGCAAGATGTGCATGCACTATAGACCCTGTGAAGCCATTTGGGAGCTATGGAGGCACACTGCCTCTATCATGAACAAAGTGTGTCTAGTTGTAGCTCTCTTGTCCACCTCTACATGGCTATATAGTCAGAGGCCTTGTTTTGTATACTGGCAACTGCAGCACACATTGCTAGCCTGTCATTGGACTGTGAATTGTATAGTTAGTGTCTCAGTGAACCAATCAGGGACTAGTTTCCTACAAGGTATGTGTACTCTTTATGCCAAACATTGAAATTAGCCAGCCTGTATAATCTTGGGGTTGTCTCTGTAAGTTTACAAATATACAATTAAAAAAAGTGCCCGGAAAAGATACAAGTCCCCATGGCTGAGAGCTGTATACACACAAAGTGTCTTGTTTAAAATTCTGAATTGTTTTGGCATTTTTAATAAAGTACAATATATTACAGCCAAACCCAACAAAATAAAATAGAACCAGCTGTTGAATAATGTATTCTGATCCCTGCCACCCCCTCCCTGGAGAGACACAGAGAGAAAAGAGATTCTCCCCATTGAATAACTCAAGTCGTAGTATTAGGAAGCTAACCAATAGGAAGCAACACAACAAGCGTGTGGTGTCAAATGGAGCTGACGAATCCTTCGCTTTGCATTAACAAGAGCACCCTCCTTCACTGGCTGGTGGTTCCTGTGGTTTGTCCAACTTTATGTCAATCACTGAAGAAAAAAAGTTAAGGTAGAAAACTAAAGAGGTAAAGCAGCTTCCTGCATCATTGAGGCTTTTGATAGGCTAGTCATTTAAAGACTGCATCTCATCCTATAAACTGTCTGCTAACATGCTAGTTGCTACCTACTTGCAGCTGTGTGGAAATCAGTTGTCATGGTCCATCTCGCAAATGTTAATTCACAAAATAACTATCAGATGCTTTCTGAATCCAGATTCCAGAGGGCAAATAATGAAAGTCATATTGTGTCAAGTTTCCAAGAACTCTTCTGTTACTACTAGCAAAGGACAGAGAAGCTGCAGCATTGGTTTTGGATGCTCCAAATCTCCCATCACCTCTAAAGCTTACAGGGGCAAATTATTTCTTGCAGTAACTCTGAAAGATAGGTTAGGTGAAGCATTAGGGAGAGAACTGCAAACCCTTTTGCTAGTTGAAAAGTGCTAAAGAAATTACCATAATTTAGCTAGTCTTTAACGTGCCTCAAGGCTGTTGTAACAGATTCATTGTAGTATAATGAGGCACATTTTGTCAGATGCACTAAGTGGGCCTTGGCTTACAAATGCTTATGCCAAGTCCATTTGTTAGCCTTTAAGGTGCCCCAACATTTAGTCACAGTATAACATGGGTACCCTCTGGAATTTATCACAGAGACAGAAACAGCCCAGGTCTTGGCTATGGCCCAGCATGACTAAGCAAATGCGATGGAGTAGGTCAGCAAAGGCCCACGAACTGCTCCCCTCCACTCACGTTATACTGCTGGAGGTGGCAGCAGGCAGCAGCTTGGATGTTCTGGGTTTCTCCACTCCTCCTCCTCCTCCTGCAGCCCTCCCTTCAAGCAGCAACAGGTGGTTTGAGGCAAGCAAGCCTTCCTCAGCCCAGAATCCTCCAAACCACCAATACTTGTTGCTGCAATTCAGGCTTGAATGGGCAAGTAGGAGTGGGGCATGGAGCTCCCTGGGCCCATTTGGCATCTCCTCCATTCAAGAGCAGTTGAAGTATTTATGTGCATGAGAAAAGAAATCCTAGAAAGTGGGGAGAAAGGTAAGGAATGGAGACCCGTCTCCTCTTCTTCCCTCATCCTGCAACAAGTTGGAAGGTCACTTTACTCCTAAATTCCCCTGCTTAAGTATATGCAATTGCATTTGCTCGCTTTCACCCTTTACAACTCCCTCCTGTCCCTTGCTCTGTTGTCTTTGCAACCTGAAGTTACTGTGTGAGGGCCAGGAAAGGTGTAGGGAGCTCTCTTTCTTGTCTGCTTATGGAATTATGTATGTGCTGCATAAGAGGACTAAGATTTAGGTGGCAGGATGATGACCACCACTTACTAGAGCTGTGGGCAAGCCAGCTATTCCCAGCCCACCCCCAGAGCTGCTTCGGTGCCAAGAGGCTTGTGCTTGGCTCTTGGGTGATTTGCTGGGACTCATTGGTTTAACTAGAGGAGGAAGGTAAATGGTCTATTCCCACCTACCTCTTCCCCTTTTGCAACTAATAAGACATTAGCCAAATGCCAATGAAGATGTAGACTGACATGACTGAACTGCCAATTAAGAACCCCTCCCCGCCTTCATTCTGCAGACCACTAAAAGAAGAGACAAATTTCCTCGGTCTGTGTGCAAAACTAATGATTTACAGATCCCCCCCCCCAAAAAAAAAGAGAGAAAGGAGTAGGCAGAGAGATCTTTTGAATTAGCTAGCTGACTCAGTAGACATCTGGCTATGGAGGAGCCTTGTGTAGAGTCAGACCATTTGTGTGTCTAGCTCCAGCACTATCTGCCTCCACTGGGCAGTGGCTTTCCAGGGACTCCTTTTAACTGGAAGCTCCCCGGGGACTGAACCTGGCATCTTCTAAGTGAAAAGCATAAATGTTACTACTGAGCCACAGACCTTCACTTAAACACACATCCAACAATGCATGTAAAGGGATCTGGATGTCTCATTATGTATGGACCTTCATGCCATCTCAAGTATATAGAAAAGTATCCTTTGACTGAGGCCAAAGTAGGGAATTCATCCTCCAGGGCATGACAACACAGGTCTGCCTGTCTTAACCAGTCACAGACAAATCTCCTCCTCCTTGCAGAGCCCCGGCTGTGGTGCTGATATATGGAATATATACTAAACTCAGTTGAGACTCCTCCCTCCCCCCCAGGAGCTGACCTTCCCTAGCAATTAAGCTGGAAGAGTTGCAGTCACTCACAGTGAGACACCCTCTCTCTCTTCCACCGCGGTGGGTTGAAGCTAACGTGCTGATTTTTTTTAGATGATGCTCAGTGATCCTACTGCTGCATGTTGCCTCTGGGGCAATTTGAGAGAAATTAAAGCCAGGCTCAGCAGTTGTGCATCCTTCTCTTGCTGCACGTAACACCAGAGGCCAGTTTTCATAGCAGAAGCAAGTGAGACAAGCTCTGGTCTGTCCTCCAGACAGTGCTTGTGGGGAGTGGGACTGCATGTTTGAATGTTGGCCTAGGCAAAAAACCAACCAATCAACCAACCCCCTTCAATATAGAAAAGCAGCAAGGCATGGAAAAGAACCCTTGTCTCTGACATGCTGGTTTCCTCGGTGCAGTAAAATGTAGAAAGAATTGGGAGGACATAAGAGCAGCCTTGCTGGGTCAGACTAGTGATTCATCTAGTCCAGCATCCTGTTTCACACAGCAGCCAACAAGAGTATAGCATCCGAGGTCTACTGTTGCCTCCTAGAGGAGAACTGGGAGTTTGGGACATTGATTTTTGGCTCCTTATATTTTCATCCAGGGAGGCCTCATTATGGCAACCAAAGAGGAATAAAAGGGCAGGCTTTGTAGAAATTAGGTAGCAGAAAGAAAAGCACAGGCAGGGAAGGAAGGTCCAAGTGAAAATCCAAGTGCTTGACTGTATCACAAAAAACCCTCCTTGCATAGGTTTTGAAGATTTCTTTCCAAAGGGTATTTTAAGAAACCATGGTCCATATCTCATTTTTTAAAAAGAGGCCTAACCCTGGAGCAAAAATCTGAGAAACTCAAGACAAATTTGCACACACAAATACACACCGCCATAAGGCTGAGAATCTACTTATGTAGGAAAGGAACCCCCCCACACACACACATCAGAGGCTCCAACTGCTAGTTGGATTTTATAATGTACCCCAAAATGTGTACAAATCATTGTTGATACTGATGGGTACATTTGTCAGTAATCAAAGTGGGAAAATGAGCAAAGATTAAGGAGGGAAGAATACTTCAGAGGCACTAGGCATGGAAATGGATTCTAGAAGCCAGGAAGGATCATGGGACAATGTACTAAATCCAAAGTAAAGATGTTGGAAGTCTTTTAAAATAAATTTGGTGTCATTGTTTAGCATCAGTTTCCGGAATTCCCTTGAACTTAGAGCCAGACAAGTCTATACGGAATTCTAAACCAAGATAATTTCTAAATCATAGTGAAGAATAGCTATTAAAACTACAAGAGACAGTTATATGGATCATCTCCAGCCCTCCCTGAATAACCTCAGCAGGGGAACGTTAGGCATTCCCTTTGTAACAATTCCTCTCTATTTTCTGCCAGCTTCAGAGACAGAAAGCGGGGGGAGGTCATTACTGCTATGTTTAATTTGGCAACCATGAACTTCTCTTAAATAAATAACACTTAATTGGACCATATTCATTAGTACTGCTTTAGTCTGATGCTTTTTTTGTGTGTGTTGATTCCGTAACTGGGAAAGGGGGGATTCTGGGTTCAGTCTAATGAGACCATTTATGTCTGCAAGGGAATACCTGATGGGTGCTTAGAAATACCCAAGGATGTTATTCCAGCAACTCGCTAAGCAGTACTATTTGAGACACAATAAAATTAAACACAGCACGTGGCTTGTGGAATCTTAGCTTTTCTCAATAAGAGAAAATCAAACAAAGTTAAACAGTTTTTATGAATCAGTGCAAGATTTTTTAGAGACAAACAACTTCCCAGACAAACTCCAGTATGGCTGGGTTATGACTGCTTTCTAAACAGATGCCTTTCTAAGTCCATTTAAATCATTACAAGAAGACCTGAGTGAAGTAATTTGAAACAAGAGTGCTTGCCTACCTTAGTGATACCCAGAAATTGTTAGCTAACAAACCAAAATCCTTAACAAGGACAACATCTGCCATTATCTAGGAGCAAGATAGCTTCTTTTGCTTGATATTAAAGAGTTGTGGTAAGCAATCTGTGTTAGAAAATCAAAAGTTCCACAACAAGAAAAGCCAAGTTCTGTGTTTGGTATGATTTATGCTGGTTACAGTTGCATGCACTTGTGTACATGATCGAGATCAAATTCACACTCTGCCACTAAACTAACTGGATGAACTTGGGCTAGTTGTGCTCTCAGCCTAATGTACCCTACAGGGTTATTGTGAATATAAAACGTGAGACAGAGCCATTTATGTCATTCTGGCCTTCTTGGAGCAGGGGAAGGATAAAAAATAAGCAAATACACATCTCAATACTTGGCTCTAATCTTTTTTAAAAAGCAAATTTATAGCCCTTGTAACTGTGACGATAGCTTTGATGTTGGGTGGGATGTATCCAGCACAATCTGAAAAGCTGTGGGAATTCACAGGCTCCAGTGTCATTCATGCCTCCTTATCCTGCACATTATAGCTTGCATCCAGATATCACTGGATATTGTGCCATTCTTATACTGTAACAAGAATTTGCAACTGGATTGGGCTGTCCAGTCATGTTAATCTAGTTGCAAATCATCACTATCTTGCAATGATAGCACAATATCCAATGATGTGTGGATGCAGCCCGTCACAAGCAGAAGCAGCATATATTATGTTGATTTGAGTACATGATAAAACTGGAGAATTCAGTGTCCCTTAATGCAAAATTTTGTTGTTTTTTTTTAAAAAAGAACACCTAATACACATGTCCTATTAATAACTGTGCTCACACTGGCTTATATTTGCAGTGGCCTACAGCATTGCTGTTCCCCTGCCTAGTTTCCATTTTCACCCATTTCTAGAGATAAAATTATTGAGCTAGGAGGAGATGAAATGCTCTCTGCTCTGACAATTCCTGATGACAGAGTGGCGTGGAAGGATAAACCATGTAACTTCCTGTAGTCTTTGCCATGTGAGTTTTCACTTGCTTTTGAACCCCTCTCTGAAGGTTATGCAGAAGAGAAAGCATTCTGGGTGGTGCTGGTTTCACATTCATACAACAAACCCAACTGAAATAGTAAGGGAGTGTGAAAACACTGCCATCACATCTAAGAGTGGTAGGTTCCTGAGCGGAAAGGAACTTATGGAAGAACCCACTGTTATTACCAAAGGATACTCCCTTCTTTGCTCTTCTCTTGAACACTCTCCATTCCTGGCAAAGCTGAGG